AAATTCATAGATTAATTCAATTGATTCATACAATTTAAGATTCAAATTTTAATATCTGTAATTTATTCCTCTCTCTCTAGACCACAACTTCCTTTATAAAAAAAAAAATTGTAATTTGTATTTTATCATATACTAAATTTTATTAAGTTTTGGACTAATGAAAATAGTTTTTAACTCTTAATTACACCTCTTTCTTAATAATTTAAATTTAGGACCCCAAGTTGAAAACGGTAGAAGATCAAACTATTTATTAGCCTGTTCTATCAAGTGAGAAATTTGTGTAATATATATTTACACCCAATTTTGTAAATTAATATTGTCCTTTGGTGATACGAATATATTGAAGTTTTTAATTTGTAATATTGTTCTCCATGATAATGAAATATTGACACAATTTTAAAGCTCGCACATGTATTCAGAGAGAAAAAAAAAAAAAAAAAAAAAGGGCTTTGTGAGACTTAAGGCTTTGACCTAGTGATGGTACGTGCATATCAAGTTAATGAAAAATGGCTCTTAATACCGTATTAAAACAGAATATTGTTAATATTCTGCCAGACTCAACACATTTATGTTAGCTTTATTATTAAAATCTTATTAACATATTTATTATTATAAAATTTAAAATATATTTTACAGTTAATTAAAAATTATAAAAATACATCATTTGTTAATATCATCTTATTTCCGATAGGATCATGTTGAAGTTTAGGCTGAACTCTGAGCTTCAACAAATCGCTCGATTCATGACGCCTCTAGTCTCAAGTTCAACCCAAAAAGGACAAATAAAATTTTTTAAGTGAGAATGGAGATAGGATGATGTTGGATTCATTTTCCAAAAACACATATATAAAAAAATAAAAAGAGAAAGACTAGATTGAAAGATGAAGAGTAGACAACAAGATAAGAATACAAAGAAAAGAACCAACTACTTCCACCATATCCCATGTTAAAGACCTCAAATTTTCTAACGTATAGAAAAGAAGGGCACTTAAGCGTAGAAATATACAACAAAAACTAGAGAAAGAATTGACAGAGATGTCACATTCATTGGGACTTTTTCAGAAAAATAAATTTTAACAAATGAATTTAGTCAGATTTTAATTAAATTAATATATACAAAATTTCCAAGTCTTTTCCCTCTCATGCAGCCCAACCCCACCAAACACTGTCTTTAATGTCTCATTTCGTACTCGCTTAAGTCCTAAGTCATTTTCAATTAATCGCTGCATGCTCCTTTCGACGACCAAAAGTAGTTTTTTTGTAATAAAATGGTGGTTGCAAGAATATGCTGTCTAGTTGTGGCAGTAATTTACCAAAAGTCTTATTCCTTGATAAAAGGTCGGCATCCAATGTAGGGAAAAACTCGGCCAGATGGCATTCTTTGAGTGCTAAGATTGAATTTTGCCATGATTTTTTTTTAAATTTTTTTTTTTCAGTAGTCTTAAATTTTTAAAAGTCTGGTTAAGGAGTATCTATAAATAATGATTAAAGATAGTTAAAATATTTAATGATTTAAAATAGTTCTTTCCTTAAACATCATTAAACATTGCCACTTAACACCAGTTAACAATTTTCCCTTTATAAACCTAATAATTCTGATTATATATCCAATATTTTTTATTTCGAAATCTCTAAATTAGATGTTTAGTTTTAACCGCTGGCGCCGGATGTCCCCTTGGAGACAGCTTTTCCTCCTTTTTTTTTTTTTTTTTTTATGGCTTTGGTATTGAAAAGGTAGCATAAAATTAAAGCTTTAGATATATGGTAGTTAGAGAAGAACTCTTTACCTCAATTGCCACAATTTGATTAATGAGCATTTAAGCCTTCCTTTCAAAATAAAGGAGTTTGAAATGCGGCTACGTTTGTTTCTTTTTAAAATAATAAGAATAAAATTTCTTCTATAAACACTTCTTTTATCTTCTTTATTTACTAAGGGAATATATATATATACACACACAGAAGCTTTAGATCCTTTTTCTAATTAAATAAATATATAAAAAAAATCTCCATTCTATAAAAAAAAAAAGTAACAATTACTACCAATAAATTATTTTGTATGGTCACAAATATATATATTTAGGATTCATTTTTTATAAAAAAAATTGTAATTTGAAAATAAAAAAAATTATAAATATTAAAATTTGAACTCTCATTCAAACTTATTAAATATCATTTTTTAAAAATAATAGCATAAATCAATTGAATTTCAAGGTAATATTTAAGATTTTTTTACCATACAAATAAGATAAGATTGTTTGTTAGGCCCTCCAAGAAAACAATAGCAAAGAATCCAATGGAGAGGAACCTCTACAAATACATTAAAAAAATTTATCATCACTCTTGACTAGTAGGCTAGTAGCCTTCTCTTACCGATTTTTTCCACCCAGAAAAACTGTTTTCTTTTATTTAAAAATTAAGCCAAAAATAAATTAGGTTTCAACTTAATTAATAAAAAAAAAAAAGGATACAAGAGAAAGAAAAAGGATACGGGAGAATTAGATTGATCCCATTAAGTTTGAGCAACCAAAATAAATACTGTGAGTGCGTCAGCTTGAGAGCAGCCAAGTCTAATTTGAAGTGATTAAAAATTGCTTGCTGGTTTGGAGTAAGTAACGACCAGCACCTACTCATTTGAACTTGAAGGATTTAACCCCAGCTGCAATATAATCACTAAATATTCCCTTCTAATTGAGAGAATATGACCAAATTTATTTTCCCATTTTTTTATAAAATGTTACACACATTAAATTAATAAAAAGAAGTCTCCTTCCTCAAATTTAGTTCACTTATATGAACAACAAGTTGTATACTCTAAAAAAAAAAAAAAATCAACCATTAAAGGTCGAAGATTTTACTAAGAAACGTTTTTCATCAAAGGAATGTCTTAAAACATTTTGCTAAAGTGTTTTCTTTTTTTCATGCTGTCGTCCTGTTAACATATGTGTAAAAATAAATTAATATGAAATGGAATGCAATTAGAAGTTTTAAAAAAGTAATATTTGTTTATAAAAACTATCGTTTTATAAATTAATAGTTTCTGTTTTTTAATTAATTTTCTTAAAAATACATTTGATTAAAATTTTGAAATTTATAATTTTAAAGTATCAAATTCAAATTTTAATAAAAAAAGAAAAAAGAGTAAAAAGTTCTATTAAAATCCAATAATTTCATATCCAAATACTTCGGTCAATGACAAATGCCCGTATCAAATAATTGGATTTGATTATCTTGGATTCCCGATTAAGAAAGAAATCGAATGGGTTACATTGGCATGTAAAAAGGGGCTTCTTTTGTTAACATGTCAGGTCTTCGGTATATTGCTATATTATATTCAACAATTTTTTTTTTTTTTTTAGTTTTTTTAATTTTATTTTTCAAAAACAAATGATTTAAAAATTTTAAAAAATTGACATGACATTTTGATCATTAAACAAAATCTTTAAAAAGGAAATTGAAAGTACTGTATACGCATCAGCCCAAGAAACTTTGGTTCTTATTTTTTTTTTTACATTTTTTTGGTGGAATAAGAAGATAAGTTTTAGGGGATCTATGACTTTGGTTGATATGACAAAAAAAGTACGTGGATGACCAAAACCTAATAAATTTTGAATCATTTTACCAAAAAATAAATTTTGAATTATTTAACAGTGACCTTCCTGCCTCGGATTCATGAACAAGCCCCCCCAGAATTTTTTTTCAAGAGTCTAAACCAGTCAGAAACAGATCCCCTATATCAAAAATGGCATAATTTTTCCCTATTTTCAGGTTTTTTTTTATGATTTCTTGTCCTTTGCTTTGGCGTTGTTTTTGGACTGAATTTTGATTCAATATCACGCATGTTCTCCCTTCTCATGGTACATTGATTAACATGTGCACTCAACAGTGGGAGTTGTATTTCTATGACTTGTTATTGTCTAAGTCTTTAGATACTCATGATTTGGTGGTTACTAAAAACGTGGAAGTTGCATTTACATCATATAATCTAAAATATGACACCAATATAATTAAAAAAAAAAGATATAAAGTTAATACAATTTAAAATTTTAGTAAAATTATATATGGATTTAATAAAATTTAAAATATATATTTTATATTTTTGTATCGACATCAATTATAATATATAATTTTTATATAAAATATAACATAAATACATAAATATCAATATTTTATACAATAAAATATATGAATTACTAAATCTACTAACATAAGAAAAAAAAAAAAAAAACAGAGCTGTACATATGTCAATTTAGTTGTACTTAATTCCATCATTTGTCACACACATAACAGTCACAACTCAAGAAAACAATATTTTCCACATGCTTATGACAATATTCAAACATAGTGGCATATTTCCTTATACATTTCAAATATATAATATTTGAAACTTTCATTGATTAAGATTCAAATCCTAACAATTTTAAATATATATGAGTTTCCATAATGCTATTTCAATATTGAACAAATATCAGTTTTTAAAATAAACATACAAAAATTAATATTTTTAAAAAAATTTATTTATTAATGAGATAATATTATCTGATTCAATTTATTAATAAAATAACATTATTCGATTCATTAATAATATATAAAATTTATATATTAATAATATATCAAATATAAATTTTTTTATAAAAAAAATCAGTTTCGCTTATAAAAAATATAATAAAAATAAAACTATGGACAAGTAATTAATAAATAAATAAAAGAGAAATGATTATCATTAAATTTGGCATAATATATTTTTTTATAGCGTCAACGATTGATTTGCAATGAAATATTGATAATAAATGTTTTTATCAAAAAAAAAAAGACTTAAATGAAATTAACTTCAATCTCAAATATTAAAAATAAAAAGAAAAAAAAAGTTGGAGCCTCCTCACAAATAGATTTTTTTCATACTAATGAATGACATCATCAAAGGGTTTTGATGAGGTCTAAAGTTACCCTTACCTCTATTTATATGCCTTCTTCCCCTGCTTTCAACTAAAGCAGCTCCTCTGTTTTTCACAACAAACATAGCTCTTTTTTTTTTCTTCTTCTTCCTTTCGCAACAATGGAAAACAATGACAAAACTCCAATCTCACCAATCTCAGTCTCAATCCCATTTTCTTATTCTCCATCTTCTTCTTCTCCACTTCCTTCTCAATATTCACCAGGTTTTCCTTCCCCTAACTCTCAATCTTCTCCTAACAATTCTCTTCAACTCCCTGCACCGCCACCAGCTTCTCCTCCTCCTCCGGTTGTTCTCAGCCCTTGTGCCGCCTGCAAAATCCTTCGCCGCCGCTGCGTCGAGAAGTGTGTTTTAGCCCCTTATTTCCCTCCAACTGAGCCTTATAAGTTCACCATTGCTCATAGAGTTTTTGGAGCGAGCAATATCATCAAGTCGTTGCAGGTAAATTGTCATTACTTTTAACTATATATATTTATTAATTTCCTGTTTTAATTTCTTTTGTCAACCTGGCATTATTGAGCAAATTTTTTAATCAAAACCAAGATCAACATTTTGATTTGTTTCAGTAAACTTTTCTTCTTCTTCTTTTTTTTTTTTTTTTTGGGGGTGCTATTAGTAAAATTTTCTTTATACCTGCTTTATTCTCAAAAAAAAAAAAAAAAAAAAAAAAAAAGGGGAACTTGAAAAAGGTCAGAATGTTCCTTGTCAAAGGGTCTAGCCAAGCTAACCATGATCACAATTTAAATGCAATCAAGAATCTAGACTTTAATTGCCAAAAATATTGCGGAACTTAACAATTATAAAAGTCAGTCAAGATTACAATTACAAAGTGCCCCAATACATTGAGTTTCAACCGTTTAAAACCATCTATTTCTACTTATACTAATATCGAAAGAAAAAATGAAGATTATTCGACAAAAAAAATTAGATTCAAGTAAAATTTAGAGATATTCCTGAAGGTATATTTTTTAAAAAAATCCAAGTCATAATTGTTTCAGTGATCACATACCTCTTTGATACCAATGGGCAATCAAAATCCCAATTCCCATGGTGCCCAACTTTCAATTTTCCGACTTTCTCTTAGAGGGAAAAGATAAAACAAAGGAAAAAAAATCAAAGTTGACTAGCTAAGAGCATGCAACATATTGTCTACCAAAGCCATCATTGCAAAGTTTTTCCAAAACAATTTAGTCCTGCATGTGCTTGTACTCCGTTCCGAAGTCTTTTTTTTTTTCTTTCATTAAAATGATTAAAAGATTAAATTGCTTTCTATTGTATTAACAAAATTCAAAATATGTTCAGGAACTCCCCGAGTCCCAAAGAGCAGATGCAGTAAGTAGCATGGTGTATGAAGCCAGTGCTCGAATACGGGACCCGGTATACGGCTGTGCCGGAACAATCTGCCAGCTTCAAAAACAAGTCAGTGACCTCCAAGCACAACTGGCTAAGACACAAGCTGAGATTGTGACCATGCAATGCCAACAAGCCAATTTACTAGCCTTAATCTGCATGGAAATGACACAATCTAAAGAACCCATTTCTCAGCTGCAACCTTACAGCATTGACACCAGCTGTTTTCTAGATGACAGCAATCTTGCCTCTGCCTGGGAGCCTCTTTGGACATGAAGAATAATTGTCAAAGACATCATAGATGTTAAGGGGTAAAAAATTAAATGAAAGATATATATATATATATTTATATATTTATAGTTAGAGAATTTTCAATAAAGTCGATTAGTTATGGTAGATATGTGTCCCAAATGCTTTTAAATCAGTGTTGACCTAGGGGAACTTTGGAAATTGATTTCAGATTGAGGGTTTTTTTTAATAATTTATTATTTGCAATCTTACAATGAAAAAAAAAAGGGATAGGACAAAAATAATAGCGGATACAAACGCAGGAAAGGGTATAGGCATGATTGTCTTTATCCCTAGGCCTGCTAATTTTTGAATTAAAGCAACTTTGGTTACCTAATTTTTATCTTCTAAAATAGTTTCTTTGATCAATTACTTGTCAAACTAGCTATCTCTTTGCTGATTTCTTGACTAAATTTGGCTTTATCATCCCTCAAGCTCATCATGATTTGGAGATTCTATAACTAGAATTGTATATCCTATATTGTTTTTCCTATACATCAAGTTTCAGCTTAATCTGCTTTCTTCAAGTAACATCTGAACATTTGAGCAAGGCTCAAATCCCTGTTTCTCTGCCTAGAAGAAAAAAATTGTTCTCTTTAATTAGCTTAGCTAAAAAGAGCCATTGGAAGCAAGAATAGTTCTTACAAGACGAAGTGATACACAGTTTCTTGAAATGTGCTTATATAATTAACTCGAAGACTAAATATTAATGAGATTTGGATAGTAATTTTAAATTTGAATCCTTACGCTTTTCATTTAAAAAAAATTAAAATGCATTTATTCATCACCTCATAAAACAATTACACACATATAATGTACTTGGGTTGTACTTAAGCATTGCCCATAATAACTTTGACTTTTTATATGCTAGTTTTTGTTCAAAGTTTACAATAGATATTTGTGCTTTAGGAATTAATTCCTCTATCTTAATGTATTCAAATCAAATCCTTATATTTCAATAAATTATTAAATTTAATCAAATTATTAATGTTAAAAACTTGTTCATTAAAATTGATTAGGTGACATTTTTACTTTTTTAACATGACATTTTTATTTAGGTGGTTATTGACTTTGCTAACATGTTAAGTTCACATGATCAAAATTTTGCCATGTTTGCATTTTTCGTATTAACTTTTGTCAAATTAAACAGTTCGTCTCCATACTTTACTTAAACGGTGGAATTAGTCTTTTTATTTTATTGTCTTTGTTTTTGCTATGTTATCTTATTGATTGTTTTTGAATTTTCAAAATTTTTCCAAATCGATCTTTCCAAATAATTTTCATTTTTTTCTTGTTTTCTCAATTTTCGATTTTTTTTTTGTTGCTTTTTTCTTACTTTTACTTCTTCATTTTCATCAACTAAACAATAAAAATAAATAAATAATAATAAATAATACAAAAAATACAAAAATGAGAATTTTAAAATTTTTTAGTATTTTTAAAATTTTTAAAATTTTTTAAAATTTAAAAAAAATCAAAAAATACAAAAAAAAACAGAAGTTTAGATTTTAAAAAAAAAAAATTAGTATTTTTTGAGATTTTTTGAAAATTTAAAATTTTTGATAAATTTAAAAAATTTTAAAAAATTTTTAGAATTTTTTTATAAATGTTTTGAATTTTTTGAAATTTTTAAAAAAATTTTGAATTTTGTTAAAAATTTTTATTATTTTTGAGAATTTTTTAATTTTTAAAAATTAAAAAAATATTTTTTAGAGTTTGTAGAATTTTTTTAGAATTTTTAGAAATTTTCTTTTTATATTAACCTGACATTGATGATGTAACATTAAATGAATTTTTTTGAGACATGTCAATATCTTATTGGATGTTAATATTATATTAGCGTTAGTAGTAAATACCAACAAGATAACATATAAAAGTTCAAGTGTCAATATGACAAATTTATTTTTTTTGCCAACCTGACAAAAAATGTATAATTGAAGGGTCATTTTAATATTTAAACCTTTAATTTTTTATATATTAACTTCTAATTAAGTTTATATTTAATATATTATAATTAGTCATACGTAACTTTATATATATTTCAATAATATAATTCGTCATATTTAAAACTATAAAATGAAAATACTATTGTGTCCAATTATTGGCACAGAATTATGTTTGACTTAAACATAAAATACAAATACCCTAATCAGATTTTAAAATTTTAAAATTTTATCACTCAATTTTTTTAAAACCAAACACAAGCTAGAGAACGTAGAGTGCACACTTGATTGTTGTTTCCGAATTGTTTTGGTTTTGAAAACAAAAAGATTACAATTATTTTTTTATAAAAAAAATTAATAATTTAAGATGAAAAAATTATAAATATTATATTTAAATTTTAAATTTATTAGATACCGTATTTTAGATATCAAAACTAACTTCTGGAAGAGGGAATATGTATATTTTCAGGGTGCTTGTTTCGGAATTGAAAGATATTTGTAGTAATGTGATATAAATCAAAAATAAAATTTTTTTATTAATAGGAATAATTGGATAATATGGAAAAAGGAATTATGGTTAATGTAGAACTAGTAGTCGCGTTGGAGTGCCTATTTTCACTTTAGTGATTTTGCCATTTCTGAGTCAAGGAAGTAATTCTTCGATGAGCGGGATTGACGGGGCCCTAAAACTTAATTCCATGTCTCTTCTTTTTTATTGATAATGAAATATAATTTCTTTTTCATTTATAATGAAATATAATTATAAGAGCAAGTTTAGTTAAATCAAATTTTAAAATAGTTATTTTTTTGTTTTTTCAAATATAATATTTAATCATCGATATTGTTTCGTTTTTTGTATCCAAGTAAATTGCATACACATTTCTTAAAATAATTTTTATTTATTTAAAAGTTTATTCTAACAGTTAAAATATAAAATTCTTTTATTTATATCTTAATTTTGAAAGAAAAAAAATAGATATGGTTTGTATTTTTTAAAAAAATTACTTTTCACCCTTCATTCTACAAATAAAAAATCTCTTTTTATAAAACCACACGTAAAGCAAGTGTTCATAAGTTGATGAAATATAAATACCAACCATTCAATAGGCCAAAAAATAGGTTAAAATAATAAAAAATTTAATAAACTTTATCATTTTATTTAAATAAATTTTTATATTTTTATTATATCTAAATAAGTTGTTAACTTTTATTTTATACCAAAATAAACTGTTAAACTATAATTTATATTCAAATAAATTTTTGTTTTTAATTTGTATTTAAATAAACTCTTAATATAAATTAATTTTATATTTAAAATAAAAGTATACTTAAATATAAATAAAAAAATAAAAATTTATTTAAATACAATAAAAATATATAAATTTAACTAATTAGAATGATAAAAAAAATTTAACTTTTTAATATTTTAACAAAAAATTCAAATTTCTTAAATCGATACAGTGTAAATATCAAAATATACGGATTTATTAAAACTTTATTAATTATTTTCAGGATTAAGATTCATGATTCTAATCATAATTAATGATTTTCGAGGTTTCAATTCCACTTGAAAGCCAAAATTATTTGTATGAATATGATCGAAGAGTCTGACATATCATTTTCTTAGATCAAAAAAATTTCTCATCTTCTTGACACAATATTTTTTCTTCAAAAAAAAAAAACAAAAAAACAATCAATCAACGCGTTTTGAGCTCTTAGCTCTTTAAAGCACTTTCATCATATCACGTGCGCCCGACACGTCTGGTTGATTTTGTAACCCGAAAAAAAAGTGGCATTTCCAGTACTTTTCTCTTCTATTCTCACTCTTTCTATTAATTCTTTTTATATTCCACGCTAAACACAAGAATAACGCATTGTACATGTGCCCTCGTGGCCCCTCACATAAGTCATATCCATGTCAAAATTGAAATTCCAACGTCAAAACCTGTAAAACCAATTTGCAACCACTCAAAATTAACAAAAAAAAAAAAAAAAACTTGGCCATCTAATTCAATGGATACATTGATGAATCTCTCTTTCAAAGTATTAAATTTGAATATTTTATTTTTAGTTATGTGATTTAGTGATCAAGATAATTTAAAAAAAAATATCAAGATTAAAATTCAAACTTTAATTTTTTTTTATTTAATGTAGTGTTTTGCCCTTAGAATGACAAAAAAATTTTTGAATATTTTGTTTTCAAATAAAAAATAATTAAATAAAATTTGATTAAAAATAATTTAAAAGACAAATAGCTTGCTCAAAGCATCAAGTTAGGATGTTGAAAATAAAATTAAAATAAATAATTGATAAACTGTGAACACAAAATTATTGTTGTTAATGGATAACCTTACTATTTGAGTTAATAAAACATTACTATAAATATTCAAATATTTAATTTAATAATTGATATATAAGTTTTTATTTTTTAAATAAAAAATAAAATTCCTTACAAATACATTAAAAAAAAGTACAACTCATATCAATTTGTTATATATGTAGTAGGAAATTTGAAGTTTAACTCAAGTTCGGACTCCATGATGAAAAAAAAAAAGATATAATCTATCTTAGAAGGGCATTTGATTGACTCTCAAATGGTTTCAAGTATTCTAACATTAATGAAAAAAATTTCGTAACAAAACCGGCGTTTTGATTTGAAACTCATCAAATAACGTTTCTTAGCTATAGAAATTATCTGCCAGTGGTCTTAACGAACGGGTGAAAGTCGACCGCCGAAGGTTCAAATATCGTCATGCTTACAACAAAAGATTGACTCTATTTAATTTTTTTTTTTATAGGGATTACAATTTAAGAATAAAAAAATTATACGTACTGAAATTTAAAGTTATGATTTATTAAATGATATCTTTTAAAAATAATTGAATAAATTAATTAAATTAAATTTTAAATTCATTCATTCAATTTCGCTAATAAATAATCACATCCTAATATCGAAATATTAATATCGATGAAACTACATTTGCAAATAAAAAATATAATGACAATTGAGACGTTAAAATAACCAATAAATCGTTATATAGTTTGATAAATTCAACATCAAATTACATTTATTTGAATTAAAATTTAAAAATTTTAAAGTCTTTTCTTTTTTGTTGAGATAAATGTATTGTTTATTTAATAAATTAAATAATTTATCTATCCCAAATTGTTTTTATCAAAATATTGTCATTATTTTTTTTTCCAACCCCTTGTTTGTTTTTTTAACAGAAAAGGAAAAAAAAAGGCATAGCATCTTTAATGCTGCAATTT